GGGCCGTTACCGCCGGCTTTGGTGGCGGGGCGATAAGCCGTGGTGTCATGCTCGCTCTCCTCAAGATACAAAGAGCCGCCTCAGTGGTGCGTGTGTACCCGTGTGTGTGTGTTTCTTTTTTTTTTTTTGAAATTATACTTCTGTGTAGGTGGGACCCTTCACACGGAAGATAATAGCTGATGTTGGCGCTTCTCTAGTACCTTCTACGGCCTTTGTTTATCTGCTACTTTCCAGCTTAACGTGCAGTGCTGGTTTTTTTTTTTTTTGAAATTATACTTCTGTGTAGGTGGGACCCTTCACACGGAAGATAATAGCTGATGTTGGCGCTTCTCTAGTACCTTCTACGGCCTTTGTTTATCTGCTACTTTCCAGCTTAACGTGCAGTGCTGGTGTCTAAATGTAGCAGCACTTGTGTTCGTCTACAACCCTTTTGATCTTGTTCAATGTGAGCACGCTTGCTCTTATATTTAACCTTTGTTTATGTGAACATGTATATTTGTAATAGAATAGCAGGAAGTTAAAGTATTGCTTTTTTTTTCCTTTATAGTTGCTGGAGCACGTCTTCATGTGTTGCATGCACTACATATACTAGTACATTTCCATTCATTTTACATGTAGCATCCACATGTCAGGGTTGGCTTTTTTTTTTTTTAGCTTGGCTTAACTGCAGGCGCTCTAGTAGACTTCTCAGGTGAGTCCCCTAGTGGAGAAATAGAGTAATGGGGGGGGAATTGGTGACATTGCTGCACCACCTCATGGAGCAGCATTCAGTCTGACAAAACACTCTTCTCTTAGCGCACCTGTGATGTCCCCCTCGCCCCATCCATATAGAAGCCATAGCTAAGGTGATGATATGCCTTTTCTATACTTGCTTTTAACGCGGGAGTTCCCTTGTGCTGTGCAATTACTAACAGTGTAGAAGAGGAGAGAAAGCATAGCAAATCTTACCATGACACTGAGACAGCTAATAAACTAACTATTCTGAAAGAATGCCATGGAGTGCTGTGCTGGTGAAAAGGATCTCTGATTCCTGGGATTTGAGCCCTGAGATGCAGGGATAAGCTTTCAGCTGTAAAATGCTTCTAATGGGCATTGATTGGTACGCTCAGAAGATTTAACATCTGCAACCTTTTACTCTTTGAAGTTTGACTCTCTGTTCCCTAATAGGGGTTTCTTGAGGGGAGTGTGTGTGTGTTTTTTATTTTTTTTAAGCTCTATGGTTATGGTAAAATACTAAGTTTTGGTTCAGGAGTGCTGCTGTTCTTAACCTACTCGTATAGCTCTAAAATCCAGCGAGTTCATCTCTGGATACTGTTTTTCTTGTTGTTTACAGTATACCAGATTTAGTGCTTTTGTTGTAAACAAGTAAGTTGCTGCTGTTGCCTTTCCTGTGTAATGAAAATACTTTTAAAAACATTTGTATACTGATTATGTTGAGTGATTCTGCTGAATCCTGACGAATGGGTTGCTCTAATGTCCGCCATAACGATATTTAATCTCAAGCAGCATAATGCTAACTTGCATTAGCCAAAATAGGGAGACCTGAATTTGAGTCTAATAAAATGTTCTGAAATTATGCAGTGACTGTGTAACTCTTCTCTGCAGAAGGTGGAGCGTTAGTATAACTAAACAGAGTACTGAATAAATTACACTGCTGCTCAATGCTAAGTGCTTTCTGATAAAGCTACCCCAGCTAGATTTTCACCAGGCTACCATGTCAATCCCTCTGTACTGCAGCTGCATGCTTTAAAGCCTGCTTTACTCTGAGCCTTGCTCAAGTGCTGGCTTTTTTTTTGGTCTCCTTGGCATGCTTCCTCACTCCTGACAGCCCCTTGCCTTGCAAAATAATAAGCCCCTGCAGCCTGACTTTCTTATGCTTCAAGGCTGTCGCTGACTCCTGCGGGCTCTCCAGCAGCTTGAGGAAAAACTTTTGTAGAGCTGGTCTTGTAGGCTTTCATGGGTCTCTCCTTGGAGACTAACATGATTGTATGGTTCCCCCTCCCCTCCCCCCCCAAACTTTTAATAGTTACAGTGTTTTCATAGATGTAACAGAATAAACCCCCAATGCATTTTGTTGTTGTTGCTTTAGTTTCTGTTGCTCCGTAGCACTAGTTAGGTTTGAGTTGAGGATCCCTCATTCTTCCCTTGCAAGTGGCTTCTCTTTGCAGTCATGAAGTCTGACTGTTGTGTCTGACTTCTCCTTCCTTAGATAGCCTCTCTATAGTTATGGGACTCTCTCTGCAGAAAAGCACAATCCCCCCCCTTACCTGATGCTTTGAATCTCTGCAGATTTCTTCAAAGTCCCTGCAGCTGTCTTTTTTATGTCTTAAAATTCAGTACCCAGAATCTTGGGGTGGGGGAGAAGGTGCCAAGGGAAATACCCGCTGTTTTCAAACTTCATCCCCAGTTGTCTGCATATAGCTTTCACAAAAGACCATGACTTTATTCTGCAGTCAAAGCTGAAAAACTGTTCTCTCTCATGTTTTTGTGAGGAGTATGTGACCAGATGCTTGACTATACTAAAAGTATCAGCTCAGCTTTGTAAATTGTCTATGGACAGAGTCCTCAGTTGGCACAGACCCCAATCAGTGGCTTGCAGGAAAATCCCCCCCCCCCCCACCCCCCCCGAAACCAACCAAACAACAAAAAATCTCCCCCAGGAAAACACTTCTCTTGCTTTTTTCTGGTACCACTGAACTCTCTGAAGAGTAACTACAGTGAGAGAGTTGGATAGTGTAACTTCTTGTGTGAATGTGTAGAGGAGATGGTTTGGGAGAAGAAAGGTTTGATGGCAGTAAGGTGAAATGTCTGTGACTTACAGTGGAAATAATGGATTTTGCCCATGTATGGCTTTCTTCAATATGCTACCAACAAATAATATGATAAGTTTGGAGAGTTTGATGGCAGACTAGTTTAGTTACCTGTTACCAGTAACATACAGGTGTATATAAAGACAGCTTGCTTGCCCTCATTAGCCTAAGTCAAAAGTCTACAATTGTTGTGAAGGCAGATATGCAAACTGAAGACACAGTTGTTGATGCTCCAAACTTCATTACTTGCGGCAGTAGATGGATTGCTAATTTTTTCTAACCTCTCAGGAGAGCTGGCTTTCAGCAGGGGAATTATGGCAGAGCAGGACCTTCAGTAATAAAGGGTATTGACCCTCTAGTTAATGTGCAAGAGGTTTTGCTTGCTGGGGAAAGGAGAAATCTTCGAGGAGGCTTCCTCTTGCCTCCCTCCTGATGCTGCTGAAAGTCCCTGGAGAGCTGGGGAAGGCGGGGTGGGGGGGGGAGGGGAAGGAAGAGCTGGAAATGGCTTCCTATTGCTCTGATGCTGTTTTGCAGACTGACCACAGGGCGGCAATATGAGACACCCTCCAATGAAAACTGGCCGCCTGGGGCACATAGGACAGACAAGGTGTAGGTATACCCGTGCTGTTCTTGTTGCCGCTTGACTCTTGCGAGCTGGGACACCTGTCTTCAACAAAACAACTTTGTAACTGGAACTGAAATGAATGGGCAATTGAAAAATACTTGGTATGAGAGTATTTTGCTAAAAGATGAGAAAGCATCCTGATATTTTGATATTGGTGTGTTCTTCTCTCCCTATTTCACCAGTAACAAGGGATAAATACATAGTATGAACCATAATATAACATTTAATTATCTTGTTTCAGCAAATACCTAGACCCCACCCCTGCCTTTGTATTACTACAGTAAATCTTGGTTCTGAGTTTGACTCGCATGTTCACACAGTGTAACTTGTATTCAGCATCTGTTTGTTCACTTCTGAGCAGGTTGCCATGTTTCAAAAATTCCCTGCCTGCTGTGGAGATCACTCAGCTATTTTAGGAGAGCCAAAGCAATGGGCAGCAGTGTTGCTTGACATCTTGACTGTTATACTTAATTGCTGGTGTAGGCAGCTGCAGCAACTGGGCTTTTGAGATCTTAGTTAGTGGGAAGGCGGGGGGGGAGGGTGAATAAAGAGGGCAATAAGCAGGCAGATATTGTTTTTATTTTCCTTCCTTTTTGGTTAATGTGCCTATTGTACATCTTCTCCCCCCCCTCCCCGCCCCCAGCTTAACAGGTTGAAATTAGACAGAAACTTGCCTCTGATTTTCTTTGACCTTTTTCAATAGGTTGAAATAGGCTCCCCTTCACCTAATATCACAGAAGGGGAAGTAGTAGGAGTGGTGCTGTTATACTGGGGGTGGTGGTGGTGGAAAGAAGGCCAAAGAGCTGGAACTAAACATGGTAAGATCTTGTAGGAGTCAGCTTTTTGTTTTCTGCCTTAAGCTTTTCAGTAAGAATAAATGTAATTTGAAGCATGTGATACAGATAACATTTGAGAATAATACCCTCTTGGCTGAAGTTTGTCACGTTTTATCTTAAGATCTGAGAATCGCCTCTCTTCTAAATGTCTGCCAAGTGTGGGATATGTTCCTGGTTTGGGTATGGGGGAGGTAGAGGATTATTCTCTCCTACAAAAAAGGTCTAAATCTTTTTATAGCAAATAGTTGTTAGTTAGATGAGTTTGGCAAAGTTGACTGTCTTATTCTTGCTGTTAACTTGGTACTCATTTTGTACAAAAAGTGTCTTGGTTTAGACAGGCTTTTTTAGTATATTAAACGGCGTGCTTGATCAAATGTGTGTAATGGGATGCACTAGTTAACTTCTGCCACTCTTGTTCCCTAAGCTTTAGAACTGCAAGCCTGGGCACTGAGGGACTCTCACAGAAGCGGGACTGTGGGCAGGCCCTTGCATCCATGCTGGATGACTTCAGTGGGATTTGGCTAGCAACTCTTCAGTGGGCAGAAATGCGACTTAACCTTTAAGATAAGACTTCTCCCCTTTGCCCCTGTTATCTATTTAGCAACGTGCTGTTCTGTTGGCTGTGTATCTTTCCTCATTTGTCTGCTGTGTGTTTGTATGTACACCAACACATCATGTGTATGATCAGGGAAGATGCCTGTTTACTTCAGCATGAGAGAATATTGTATCGCTTAACTTTTGAAACAGAAGGAAGGAGAAGGTATTGTGTTGACCAAACTACTTAATTGCTCCCCACTGTTGTAAAATCCCTCAAGAGTCACTGGCTGTAAGATGTCCTTTATCACTTAGAATAATCTTTTAAGCTAACTAAGTATGAATGCATGTATATGCTTGCTTTCTTCTAATACATAGTACATACCAGATTTTGTAACTGGAAGTTCTTACTTTGTTACATATTCTTGCAAGAGCTGATTTTTCCAATTCCCTTGTTTCAGAGCTGTAACGCTGGGAACTTCCACTAAAAATTTACTTCTGTGGTTGTTGATATTGAGTCCCTTGCTTTGCTTTTTGTCAGACGTGGCCAGTGCAGGCTGCTAATTCTTTGAGCCCCCACTGCTCAGACCTCCTCCACTACAAATCTGTGGCACTGTAAGAGCTGCTCACGTGGAAGCACTTTTCTAATAACAGTTGCTTGTACCTGCCTCTGCAGTGCCTAGCTGTGGCCGGGGAGGGGGGAGGGGGAAGATGCCCCCAGACACCAGGTGGTTGTCTTCAAAGCTTCCTGCCCGGTGGAACCAGCAGGAAGATCTGATGTGTGACCATTCTGTAGAGGAGCCAGTAAGAAAGTGAAAGGTGGGGGGAGTCAAACAGTGCAGATGGGCAAAATATTGCGAACTGTGTAGAAGGGGGACAGGAAAGACAGGAAGTGAAAACATGAAAAGCAAGGCAAGCCTTGTTGCAAGTTAAGGATCTGAACTGTAGGAAGACTAACTAGTTCAAATACTGATCCTGGAAATGAGGTACTACAGAAACACTGCCCTCTTGGTGAGGAAGAGGGAGGGAAATGAGCATGGGAAGACATTCTGTAGGAGAAGGATTGTGACCCTGAGAAATATGAATTTGAGGAACTATGCTAAGACCTAGTGTTCTACTGTTTCTCAACATCATTTTTAATCCTAGGTTGTCAACTTGCAAGCCAGTGTTTGTGCTTCAACTATGCAAGCGTCTAAGGAATAATAATTAAAAACAAAAGGTACATGCAGAGCATGGATGGATGAGGACAGTATGTTCAATGGAGTCAATGTGTTTGAAACTGACGAAAAAGCATGTCTGGTAGCTTTTAATGTAGTTAGCTGCAAAGTTTATTTAGAGTAGCACTAGATGTTTTATAACCAAGGTGGTAATCTTATTTAAGCCTAATTTTGGTTTCTTAATATTCCCAAGAAGCATCTGAAGTAGGTAAAGGCCTCAGAGTTAAGTTCTAGGGTTATATATGTCCCTGAAACTTCTGTCTCACCTATCAGTAGAACCTGTGATGCTTTATATTCTTGGAAGGATCGTGGGCTGCCACAAAAGTGGTGGGAACTTGAAATCCTGAATAAACTTAATGAGCCTGAGTGTATGTGTGTTTTTCTCCCCGTAGAAATTCTAGAAAGGATTTTCTTTTGTATTCTTCCCTACTGCATGGGAGCTGACACTTCTGCTGCTCCTTTCTTTGTTCCCAGATAGTTTTGAAGTCTGTACTCTGCTAGCCAAAATCTTAAAATGGGGTGGACCAACACATTTTTCTTGGCCAGGCTGAAAGTACGCCAATTGCCTCAGCTACTAGTAAATGGTGATAACCACCAACCGGATCACAGGTCTGTATCTTGTAGCTAGCATTTGTAAGGAATTGCACTCCCCTTTCCTTGTGCTGCTGGTTAAGCTGCTTGTTACTCCAACTTAACTTCAGTAGTTTTTTTAAGTATCAGCTATAAGGATTGTAACTGGAGACTCTCTTGAAAGCTTGCTTACTTTAGTGCTATGCATATTTCCCAAATCCATGTTTAAAGCATCAAGGAATTACATATGAGGTTGACTCTCAACTGTCCTTCAGGGAGAAATAAGTACAGGGAACTGTTCCTAGGGTAAAACTAGCTTCTAGCATTTACATTAGTAGTGGAATGTTAAAGCATATACATTTTCTTTTAGTTTTTAAAAAAAAAAAAAAAAAAGCCTAGAGACCAGAATAGTTGGTAAAACACTTACCTCGAGCTTACAGATTTAGGGCTTTTATGTGGCCATGCTGAAGCCTAGTAGATGCTGGAAAGCTCCTACAGAGCTTGTGCTGTTTGGTCTCTGCAGAAGGAAGAATGAATGTGTGAACTTGCTGCTACCAGGAGAACCCTCTGAAGGAGGCTGCCACGTTCTTCCTATAACAGATTACTCTTCACGTTCCCTAAGAGCACAGTCCACTTTGGTAACGGTAGAGCTGTTACCGTGTGTTCTGCTGATGGTGTGTTTCTAATATGTGATACCATATGTCCTCTGCACCCAGGAAAATTGGTTATGTGGTCCCAAATCCTCTAGGGAAATAAATATTTGCATGCTTATGCTTCCTTTACCCATTCTCTTGCTGTTGCTCTTAGTCGCTAAGCATTTCATTAAGCTAACTTATCTACAGGTAAATACTACTTGCTGGGGCAGTGAGAATGTTTGTGCATCTGAACTTTGATATGGTCTCCGAGAAGGAATTTGAGTGTCTGGGCTCAGTGTTTGTCTGCATCTGCCAGTTGGAAAGATGTCAGCTGACATCTTTCCAACTGGCAGATGCAGACAAACACTGAGCCCAGACACTCAAATTCCTTCTCGGAGACCATATCAATGTCTGCCCTGCTGTGCTTTTTATTTAGTTACCATAAACCTTGTGACTTTGCTGTACTCCTGTCTCCTTCCTCTTTTACTTCCAGTTGCTACATAGAAACTAAAACTTAATCTGTCTATCTGCAAACTTGCAAAGACTGTCTGCCTGCCTGCAGAGAAAAGCATAGTTCTCTTGCTGATGGAAGAGTTGCTTGTAGTGTTTTTGGGCAGCTGAGCCTCTGCTCGTCATCTGCTGGAGTTATGATGACAATTGATTTGCCAGAGAAGAGTGGCCCGGTTCCTCAGTGGTGCTGAGCAGCTGTACTTTCTGCTCTGTTCGGAGAATTTGGGTGATATTTGTCACTTGGGTAAATGTAAGCCAATTCCTTGGCTTGGCTTGGCAAGGGGAAAAGAAAGGACTTGCGCATTTTCTTTAAGCTAGAAATCAGTTTAGCTTGCAAAGGAATAGTCCATCAGCTTGAATTTAAGACCTGATTAACAGACTAGAGTATGCCTAGGCATGGAGCACATGGGCTTTCTTTCTGGTATCTTTTTATTTTAACAAGTAATAAGAAACTCTTCTATCTCCTTTCTTTTCTCCCTGTCTCCCTACCCCTATATGTTCGAGGTTTTAGGAAGAACAGTGGAAGCAAATAATCTGCTACTCCTGACAGTGCTGGGGACTCGCAGGGAAAGAAGCCAGCTGAATGTGAAAGCCAGAGGCAGTGGCATGGAGTGGCTTGCTGAGGCACTGCTAGCAATGTAGTCTTCAGAAAATGAGCCGTCTTTTGCTTTGTGATTCTTCAGCAGCAGTGTAGCTTCTGTTCAGTTTACAGTACTGCATGAGCACTACAATAAAACTGCATTTTCTTCTACTTTTCTTAAATAAAATATTTGACTTGGCCCCTGCCTTAGATAGGTGCATACATTTGGGATGAGGGGAAGAAGTGTAAATGAAAACTAATTTGGCGTACTGCACTAACGCTGTCAGTCTCACCGCCCTTCAGCTTCACTTACTGGCCTTACTGCTGCTGTAATAGACCACAGTAGCTTTACATTTCTAACAGACAAATGCAGTGCAGCTCTCGGTGTGGTTCTTTGTTTCTCCTGCTG